TCAACAGTCAGTAACCTGATGAGGCCCCTTTCTATAGCACTTCACGTTGTTTAATCATCATCTTTGTGAAATTTCCTTTACATGAGTAACAGTGCACTGTCTTTCTGCTTTTCCGTGTTTGTTTAGTAACTTTTCTTAAGGACAAGAAGCTTTATATCTGGGAACCCCAATTCATTCCCTCCTTTGTTCTTTGCTTATCTGAATCAGTCCCTTCTGCTAGCCTCACAGATGCATTGGTTTGATGGAGCATAATAGACAGTCCAGAAATAGACTTACACATACATGGAGAGCTGCTTTTTCACAGAGGTGCAGAAGTCCAATAAATGGTGCTGGAATAATTGAACATCCAGATGCAAAATTAAAAATTGATCCATATCTCAAATTTGCAAAAATTAACTCCAAATGGACTGTAGTCCTAAATGTAAGATCCGTAACTATATGTGAAGAAGACAAAGCGGAAAATAATCCTGGGTTACAACCCCTAAAGCACCATCCATAGAAGAAGAATTTGACGAATTGGGCTTTATCAATATTGAGAACCTCTGCTCTTTGAAATGCACGGTTTAGAAAACAAAAAGACAAGTCATGGAGTGGCAGAAAATGTTTACAAAACATTTCTGATAAAGGAAACGCATTTGAAGTAAAGGAGTCTCTAAACTTGGTAGTAGGAAAACCTATTTTCCTATTTTAAAAAAATGGACAAAATATTTAAATGTACTTCACTGCAAACGAAAAATAGATGGCAAGTAAACACATGAGAAAATGTTCAACATAATTAGCCATAAAGAAAATGCACATGAAAACTACAGTGAGATGACCACTACATGTATATTTGAATGGCTAAAATTAAAAATACCATACATACCATGTGATGGTGAGGACCTGGAGAGACTGGAACGCTCATAACCTGCTAGAGGGAATGTAAAGTGGTACAACTACGGAAGAGAGTTGGGCAGTTCTTTAAAGGTTAAAATATGTACTTACTACTATTAGTTATTTACCAAAAGAAAAGAAGACGTAAGTCCTTATGAGGACTTAGACATGAGTGTTCAAAGTAGCTTTATTTGTAATAACCCAAAGCTGGAAACAACCCACGTGCTCATCAACAGGTGAATGGATAAATGATTATCCATACAGTGGGATGTTGCTCAGCAACAAAAAGGAAATCACTATTGGTATATGCAACATGAACAGATCTCAAAATGATTGTGCTGAGTGAAGGTATACTAAAAATGTATAGTATGCTTTCATTTATATAAAATTCTAGAAAATACAAAGTAACCTACGGAAATCTAGAAGGCAGATCAGTGCGGGTGGGGCTTGGCAAGGAGGGACTCGGAGGGGTTTCAAAGGCACATAAGCGGGGCGGAAGGATGCATGTGTGTGATGGACGCGTTCACCATCTTGACGGTGTTCTGGTTTGACATGTATATACATCCCAGAACTCACAGAATTGTAGAGTTTATACTCGTGCAATTCATGCATTTTAATTACACCTCAATTTTTAAAGTAATATGTTCATACATTCTCTCCAACCTACCCTTTCTCTTACCTCAAGAGTGCCATCTCCTTTCTCACTTTTGGCTGATGATTTTTATTCATACTTCACTTAGAAGCAATCACAGCAGAACTTTTCACAAGTTCACATTGTCTGGCCCATCAGGCGCGGTGTTTACTTTGCTCCAGGCAGCCTCTCCTTTTCAAACATCAGGGCCTTTGCACTTCTATTTGCCATGCCTTAATGTCTCCCCATCCTCATTTCTTTACTAAAATGTCTTTAAGGGAGGCTTATTTAAAATTGTAGCTACTGGGCCATTCCTCTGTTCTACTCTATTTTTCTCTTTCATATTTATCAACATGCTGTACAGTTTATTTATCTTGTTTACATTTGCATGTTTTCCCTCACTTGGAATGTAGGCTCCAGAGGTTTTTTTTTTCCCCGTTTTCCCTTAATTATTTGGGGATTACTACTGTATTCCAGGCAGTCTTGGGATATATTTGGCATTCAATAAATATTGTTGAGTAAATAAATGAATGAATCAGAACCAAAATAATGTATATATGATTAAAATAAAATCTGAAAGCCATCCTCCAGAGGTGAGCACTGTCGGTAGTGTGGTGTCTGCTTCCAGGCTGTGCTCTCCATAAGCATAGGTTCACGGACCCTTTTATCCACACAGGTGCACACGCCCTGGGCTGCACTGCACGGAGTTTTCTTTCACCGTTTCTGAACATCTGTTTGTGTCAGTACATAAGTAGCTACTCCATTAAAAATTTTGGCTGTATTGTGTTCCATTGTGCGGGTAAGATTATGATTTAAGTTTTCTGAAAGTTAACTCATTTTATTATACGCTACAGTAAACATTGTTGTCCATATTACTTTACTAGTATTTCTGTAGGCTAGTATTCCTGTAGGATAACTTCCTAGAAGTAAGGCTGCTAAATCATTAAACATGTTTAAAGTGCCACATGGCCCCCAAATATACCAGTTAACACTCCTCTCTTCTCAGTGTATGAGGTTCCTCGTTTTCCCATATCATCATCAACATTAAATAGTGCCTGTGTTCAGTTTTGCAAATAACCGTTAATTTGGAAATGTGTGTGTCTTCATTTGGTAGGTAAGTTGCCCAGACAGAGGAGTTGTGTTTAGAGCTTGATGTCTCTAGGAAAGGAACGTGGGCTTGTCATCTTGGCCCCTCCTGGAAATAGCTCATTCTAGTTATCTCTTGTCAAGCGGAAGTGGGTCTCAGGGCTTGTTTCATTTAGTGTGAGTGTTAAGGGCAGCTGCAGCAGCTGGCCAGGCTAGGTTCACACCTTGTATGCTGTCCTGGTCAGAATGGAACAGTTTCTCCTACCCAAAGTAACCGTTTGGGAAAAGGTGGCTTATTTTCTCCTAGACCCAATTAGATTGGCTAAACCACCTATCTTACTTAGGAAAACAAGTTAAATAGAATCCTCTTTTTGGCTGGCAACTGCCCACTAAGTGGCTTTTAAATAGCGATCTGAAAAATGAGTACACTAAGGGGTACCGATTGGGCAGTGGGAACAGCACGTGCGAAGGCACTGAGGTCGCACACATCTTGGACAAACTGCAGGGGCACTTGCAGGATGAACCAAGCCCGCCGGGAAGGCAGGGGCCAAATTCCTTTAGGGAGGCTCGTGCCGCGTGCACAGACAGGCCTCCACCATTTTGCTTCCTACTTTGGAGGACACGAGGTATATCTTGTTTCAAAGCTTCGCGGAGACTGAGCAAAGGAAAGGGGCGGGGGAGGGTCCTTTGTGAATTCGCTGCTCACATTTGGCAATGGAAAATCGATCAAATGGACCTTTCGTAAGTGAAACGTTCCCCTTGTGAAGCTGTAAACTATTAATGCTAAGCCGGGGTGGGAGCAAAGCCAAACTGCGCAAACGCATTGCCCCTCCCAACCCGCGCTGGAGGGAGACCAGCCTCGACCCGGGGTTTGTGCGCGTGTGCGGCTCCAGGGGGCGGGGCCCGCGCGCGTCTCGGTTGCCTGGATACCGCTGCGAAACAACCGCGGCTTGCGCTCCAGTTGCCGGTCTGAGCTTATAGCTAGAGCGGGCGGTTGGCCCTCATTTCCGAGGAGCCCGAGGAGGCGCGGGTAAGAGTCCTCGCCAGTCGCCCATGCCTCGTGAAGCCGGCCTCTTGGGTCGCCGCCAAACCTAAGACTCCTGCCTGGCCCCCGTCCCCACCCCAAACCCGGGGAAAGGCGGGTGGCCGGGCCTGGCGCCGTTTAAACCCAGGACCCCAGCCTGGTTCCGGGTCCCAGGCCCGGGCCCCATCCCTGACCACCGTCCCCGACTAGGCTCCAAAATCGGGAGCCCAGACCCCGGCCTGGCCCCAAACCCAAAGGAGAGCCAGCGGGCCGGCCTCTGAACCCGTTGGCCGTCGCGGCTGTCCGGGCGCCCCAGGCTGACCGAACCGCCCTTCCTCCCTCCGCAGCACACACAGATTCTTCCCAGCCCAGTCCTGGCCTGCGGAGAGCGATGCCGCTTCCCGACACCATGTTCTGCGCGCAGCAGATCCACATTCCCCCGGAACTGCCGGACATCCTGAAGCAGTTCACCAAGGCTGCGATCCGCACCCAGCCCGCCGACGTGCTGCAGTGGTCCGCGGGGTAAGCGCCCCGGGGCCAGCGCCTGGGAGAGCCGGCCGGTCCCCGTGCCCAGTCCTGCCTAGTGAATCCTCCTTCCTGGGCCAGTGGTCCAACGCTCAGGACACTTAGAGTACCGGCGAAACTTTCACTTTAGCATTGATGGTATCTACAACCTAAGTATCTATCTAGGAAGCATCGTGGTTTACTGACCACGAGACCAGAAAGTACTGCAAAATGTTCATTTATGTACAAAGCAATGACAACTCCGTCGTTGGAGAGTGGTATTTACTCAAGGAGCCTAAAATTTATAAAGGTTACACTGGGTGAAAAGTTTCAGCATCATATAAAATCTATCACTGTCCGTTTATTTTATTTGTAAAATGATTTTTACAAGGAGGAATCTTACGATTATATTCCTTGTCTTCAGAGAATCGTCCCAGGACTAGGTGCCAGTTGAGCTTATTGGAACCAGAGGGACGGAGGTCATGCTGGGGTAATCATCCCAAGGCTACTATAAGGTTAAACTCTGCCCAGCTTAGTTCACAGCATGTGAGGCTCCACAGTTTCTTGCAGTAAAACATTCTAACCATTTCCAGGAACAGACACTAACCTTTTTAAAGTCACAAGTCCACAGACCTTAGAACGATTAAAATAAACCCTGTTGATTTTACAGGAAAGCTCCTTGCCCTTTTTCAGTAAGCAGACTTAGACAATTCTGTAATCACAAGAATCAGTATAAATTTAACTTAATTTTTTTTGTAACTAGCATGTTGTATTCTGCTGACCTTCTTTATACTGTACGACTAAAGTGAATCAGTTTCCTGTGACTACGGTAACAAATAACCACCAAACACAATGGCTGAAACCAGCAGTTTATTCTCCTACAGTCTGGAAGCCAAAAAGCCAAAGTCAGTTTCACCAGCTTACAGTCAAGGTGCCGGTGGGGCTGTGCTCTCTCTGGAGGCTCCCGGGAGAACCCGTCCCTCTCTTGGCCTTTTCCAGCTCCTAGAGCTGCATTTCTTGTATTGTTTGGCTCCTGACCCCTTCCTCGATCTTTAGAAGTACCGTGACATCTTCTGCCTCCCTCTTCTAGGGACATTTGCGATTGCTTTTAGGAACCACACAGATGACCCAAGATAATCTTCCCATCTCAAAATCTTCACTCACATTGGCAAACTCCCTGTTACAATGTAAAAGAGGATCCACCAGCTTCCAGGATTAAGACCAAGATGTCTTTGGTATATCTTGGACCAGGATATCTTATTGTACCTACCATGCGAGGCTACTGGTTAATCCAGCACTTTGCCTTGGGACAAGTGCTTCTGTCAATTGCTTCTGAAAGACTCAAGGTTCTTGCCCAAAATTGTGGCTTCTGGTTTTAACCATTATTCAAGCCTAAATGAAAGATACGGCTCAGAAGAGTTTAGGCGTACTCTACAAAACATTCCAAGATGTAATCATTTTTTCTTGGAACATTATATTTGGTAACGCTTTAGAGAAAACTATTTTAAGCTTCACGTTAAAAGGCTTAATCGAGAACTTTCTGAATGTTCCATGCAACTGATTTCTCTCAAGAACAATTTTGGAGTTTAGGAGAAAAAGCAAGCATTATTTAATGCTTTGTCTTTAAATATATCCAAAGCATTAAAATATATTTAAAGCATTATTTTTGTGCAGTGTGTGCATAGTGGGCTCCCTGTGTCCCGATGCTCTCAGAGTAGAATGTGTCACGGAGAGATGCTGTTCAGAAGAAGGTAAATTGGTCTTTGAAAGATTTCGTAGGCAGAGATTGGGGTTAAGACCAGGCAGAAGAGGAAACAGCTTATGAACATAGGGGCCATGGCAAGGAAAAAACAATTGAAAACAAAGCAGGAAAGCAGGGTGCATGTGGAAGCGACTCCACCTGGAAGGCCCAGGCAGGCTTTCGGGGGAGGGTTCTTTCCAGGTGAGGTTGGCAGGAGGCAGAACTGAGTCAGGCTGGGCCCCTAGCCTCTGCTGTGTCACAGCAACTAATAGGCGGGACCTTATTTTGTCATCATTGTGACATAATGCCATTGTGGATCTGATGCTGTGATGGCAGCAGGAACCAGTCAGGTCCTAAAGGCTTTTGCTCACCTACACCTTGAGAAACAACACACTCGAGAGCATGTGGCCCTAGTTGGCCTGGCCACTCAGGCCAGCTTCCCCGCCTCAACACTATTGACGCTTTGGACTGGACAGCTCTTTGCGGGGTGTGTGGTGTCTTGTGCATTGTGGATCCTCAGCAGCCTATGAGATGCCCGTAACACCATCCACCCCCAGTTGTGAACAACCAAAATGGTCTCCAGACGCTGCCAGTGCCTCCTGGGGGTGGGGGCAGGACCAAGATCGCCCCCTCTTGAGAAGCACGGCTCGAGAGGCTGCGTCAGCCGGGTGATGGGTTTGATGGATTATGGGGAGTAAAGTCCACGAAATAGGTGAAAACTCTAATTAGGAACGTGGCGAAACTAGGCACCCGTCCCTGACCCTGGCCCTCTCGATCCTCAGGTCCACCTGCTGCCTTCCTTTTGACTTTCCCTCGAACCATTAAGTTAACAAAATATGACTGGACTGTCTTAACAGCAGGAAAGCAAAGCTGAATTTGAGGGATGGAGAGAAAAAAAAGGAATGGGATGTAAAATTTCTTTTAGCCTATCAGACACCTATTTATCTACATTTTGTTACCTATTCAGAGATGTTTCTAATTACTCTTATCTTCAGTGGTCACCTGTGGCCCTGGACGATTCAGTGTTTGATTTTCCTGGGTATGTCATTTCTTTGGTGGTGGTAAAGTCACGAGGGTGGCAGATGATGTGACTTAGCGGCCTGCGTCCACTGGCATGTGCCCAAGGGGGTGAGTTTTGCAGAAGACGCTGCTGGCACTCCCAGCCCTACCCTAACCGGTGCCCCCTGGTCGTTGCCCCATCCTGACTTATTGCCCCAAGCTGTCTCCATGCCCCACTTGTCCCACTGTTAGCTGTTCATGTCCCAGAAAGGAATGATCAAGGGGAAAAAGCACTAAAAACAAACAAACAAACAAAGAAAAACAGGCAGGAAAAGTGAAGGGTTGGGGAGGGCGACACCTGATTTAGCCAATCAGGAGATTTCCTGCTCTGGGCGCCTTGGAGCTGAGTAGGCAGAGATGCTTGAAATCAAACCCCTCGAAACGCAGGGCTGAGACGCCAACTGTCAAAGTGGCATGATTAGACCACGACCTTGCACTTGGGGCATGTGGGGCCCTGACTTCCACCACCTCTGGAAGCATCTCAGACCCCATGTGGCATTTGCTGGGTAAGAGGACCACATGTTACGGGAGCCCCAGGAGTGCCGGCGGGGTCCCTAAGACTGGGGCTGTCACCCCCGCTGTGCAGAGGACCTGAGGCCCGCAGAGACAGGAAGGGCGAAGGGCTGTGTGGAGGAGCCCGACCCCAGCTGGGGGAGCGCACCCAGCGCGCTCCTCCCTGATCACCGTCTCCCTCTGGAGTTGTTGATGAAAGCGGGTGACTTCAACGGCTTGTTGTGGCGCTTCAGCAATGTCTGTTGTTGTTAGGTATTTCTCAGCTTTGTCAAGAGGAGACCCGCTTCCTGTAAAGGACAGAATCGAAATGCCGGTGGCCACTCAGAAAACAGACACAGGCCTGACGCAAGGACTCCTCAAAGTTCTGCACAAGCAGGTATGAGGGTCTTTGTTACCAGCCAGCTGAACTTAAGGCAAAGGCTGGCAGAAACCTCCACCATCTCCACACAAGCCCACCGATAAAACTTCACGGTTTATTCAAAGAAGGAATTTTGCGTTCAGTGGCCTTTCTCTGGTTTAAGGAACTCAAAATAGTTGTTCCTTGTTATATAGAAATATAGTTTCTTTTAAATACCAAATTAAGACGCTAGGTGCTGCGGGACTTAAAAAAAAAAGCTCTGAAAACATGGAATTCCAGGCATGGGGGTTGTTGCTAAGATCGTTCTTGAAATATAAAAACAGTGCTAAGGGGATAATCTGCCACTTTCTTCATCTGAAGGTCCGACTGCCCTCCTGAGGGCCCTGGGGACCCACCTTCTCACGTGGAGGGTTAATAGGAAGTGTATTTTATCAGAATGGTTGGGCCGCATTGCTAAAAGCAACGTCAGGGGAACAGCCCTGGTTTTTAAAGTGACTCGTCCCCATGATACGTCCTGAGGTCCTGTGTTCCTGTCCAGGATACAGTGACTTCTGAAAACAGGATTTTCCCATGGCTCCCTATTTTAAGGGAAAATGAGTAACCACTGAAAAGGGGTAGTTTGGGAAAAGACATGATGAAATTGCTCAAAGCTCTCTCACACAGGAGAGCGCTAGCAGATCACAGAAGTTACTAATTTTCATAGGTTGTCTAAAATAGGAGGAATACATTGATTTTCAGGTTTAAGATTACTCCCATTTAACTGTTCACATGTTGAGGGATTGGATTTCATTTGATTTCCTGAAGTTTATTTTTATTGTGAAGTGTTTCAGACCATAGAGAATCATGTACCTAATGCCTGGTCGCCCGCAATGTTATTAAGTCATAACACGAGGCCGTATTTGCTTCACAGCCCTTTTGTCTTTTAAGAAGTAACTTGTTGCTGATCTCTACTTCCCAACCCCCCTCCCTCCCCGCGCACCCCTCCCCCGCTGCCTCTCTCCACCCCTCCTCCCCTGGACTAACGGTGCAGTGGATTCAGAGTTCTTCCCTGGACAGGGATGGGTGCTCCAACTCCGTTCAAATATTCACAAGCGTTATATTACTTTGTGGATCTTTTAAACTTACCTAGATTGTCATGCTCTGTTTTCTCAACAGTGTAGCCACAAGGAATATGTGGAATTAGCAGATCTTGAGCAGAAATGGAAAAATCTGTGCCTGCCAGGGGAAAAATTCAGAGCTGTCTTGGAGTTGGATCCTTGCAAAAACAAAATCGAATGGATAAAATTTTTAGCGCTTGGATGTAGCATGCTTGGTGGGGTACGTACCTATAAATGGCATATTGATAATTCTGTGTAATCATAGGCTCAGCTTAAAATAACAGGTGTTTAAGAAACCGAAGGAATACTTTCATTACTTTAGTAATTTTGTCTTCCAAAGACCATTTTTTTCCCAGATGTTTATTGTATTTTAGGCTTATAGTTACTTTATTTACAGAAGTTCAATACATAGGAATGCTTCAATTTAAAAGATATTAACAGTAGACAAAATATATAGATGCTGTTAAAATACATTTAGGTCTTAGAAGAGAATGCATCAATGATTTTTATTAAATGACACATCATTTTGGTCATACCTGTTTCCTCATCTTGTGCAAAGTTATTTTGTACAGTTATTTTGGTTTTTAATTAAAATGTGTTATTAGTAACTAACAGATAAGGTGCCACCTTGCTGATGTTCAAGTACAACCCATCCGACTTCAGAATGAAGGCGCAGGCGTCCCTGCCGGCGTGAATTGAGCGGGTGGGGTGGGAGGGAACGGATGGGGCTGGGAGGACTTTGGCAAGACTTCCTTCAGGAATCTGGAATCTGGAATCTCTCTTTAGCTCAAGTGTTTGAGTTGCCCTGTGAGACATGGGGTCAAGTGCGGGGAGAGTTACCACTTTAAGTTTGTAAAGAAAGGGGTTGAGAAAAGAGAGCTAGCTCCCTTCAATGCAGACACAGCACACTTTCCTGCCCCCGCCCTTCAGTCTCTGGCCCAGAGCACGTAACTGAACAGTTCACAGTCCTTGCTTCACGGGATGCCCTCATCCCAGGTCCATGCCTAAACCTCCTTAATTCCATTTTAACTTTCCAGAATTACCTTCTGTAATGCTACCTACCATGACCGCTAACACAGCTAGTACCTGCAACTGACCTGCGCCCCAGACCCCACTGCCCTCAGCCCCGGGCTCATGCTTCCGGGATCACACACGTCCTCCAAGAAATACAGTATTTAATTGTAGTTGGCTTTAACTTTATGGAAAGGTAATCATGTTGTTACTAATCTCCTGGAGCTTTCTTCATTCCCAATTAGAGTTCTCTGTTTATTCATCTGGATCATTATTGACCGCTGTACTGCATTCATTTCCTCTGCTGTGCAGTATCCGCTGTGTGACTTCACTGCAATTCAGCGGTGCCATTCATGGCCCCGGGGAGAAGCGCGGAGACCCCGGTAAAGCCAGGCGTTAGGCTGAGCGCTGCGATGACTTTTGTTGTGTAACTGCCCGCGGGTGTTTCCAGTCAGCCCTGGGCTGGCTGTGCCAGAGAGGTGGTCACCGCCCACCAGGTGCCCTCCTGTGGGCTCAGAAGTCACGGGGAGCACCCCAGGGGGTGTTACTGAGAAGGGCAAAGGCAAATTTAGTTATTGGAGAAAATTGTATGTTGCTTTGTTCATCTGGAACTCTGTGAAAGCGTGATTTTAATAATACAAAATTAATAACTAATATTTTATTTTATGATTTGTGCCTCTAAACTTTGTTGTGAAGTTTAGACTTTTATAAGTGATGAAAAAATCAGAATATTTCACATTTGGGAGATCCATCTTTGTAATTTCTACCTCCCTAATCAGGAGAATTAGGCACTAAATTTAAAACCAAACCAACTCTGTTTTGCAAGATAAGGCCTCTTATGCACGGGCAGTATGTGACGCTAGATGGAGACATTTGTTAAGGGTGGAGCCTCCTCTAAACTGAATACCCGGGAAGGGATGGATAAACAGTGCACACCTGTCGCTTATCCCCATCAGCCAATGTGGGATCCCACCCTGTCCCCTAACTGAGCCTTCTCTGCCTGTGGTCTCTGCTGTTGGCCTTTGACTCCTTCCTGGGCCCGGGGCCCCTTCCCGCTGTGGGAACCTCTGGGAGGAGGTTCAAGTGTGAAAGCCTCCTGCTCCTCTGCCAGGTCAAGCTCACAGCCTGGGATGCCACCTCCGCCCTGGCCCGTCCCCCGCCCCCACCAAGTGCAGAGCAAACAGCCATGCTCTGGGGCCGCAGGGGCCGGAGGGCACCAGGCGCGATGTTGGGGCTTGCTTTGGTGCTGTGCTGTGTGCCCACGTTTGGGGAATAGCCAGGAGGTTCTTACCTGGCGCTGTGATTTCTGGGGTACGGTGCTTCATGCAGTTTGGCATCTTAGCATCTATGCGTAAAAACAAAAGAAAACAAAAAAACCCCAACCTCCAGAAAGGAGCCAATGAAGAAGTGAAGCGAGGTGGGCAGGAGTAATTTACAGTGGCTTCTCTGCACGTAGGATGCTGTCAGGTTGGCATCCAGTCGCTCTGCGTCGATGTGACGGAGTGAGTCCTGCTGCTCAGGCTGCGGCGTCTCCCGGCTCGTGGCAGACATGCTGTCTGAGCTCTTCGGTTTCTCTTCCAGGTCACTCCAGTTGGATGAATTAAGTTCTCTGCAGAGACTCGAACCCCTGCTC